CTCCCAGAGGCATGCTGGGAGCTGTAGTTCCCTGACTCCTACTGCTCCCAGCATGCCTCTGGGAGCACATCCAAGACACACTGTTACACAGCACTGCTAGGAGTCATCTGGAGACACTTCCTTGTGCTTCCGTACACTGACTCCTAGCAGCGCTGGGCAACAGCGTGCCTTGGAGTGCCTCCAGAGGCACTTCCTTGGGCCTAGGCAAGCCTTCGGAAGAGTTAAGCGACGAGGGCAGAGGAGGTCCTTGAATGGAGGGAAAGGGAAAGCCCAGCAGGCTATCACCCCAGCTAGTCTCTGTGGCAATGCAGCCTGCTACTCCTCCTCCCCATGCCCTCCCTTGGCCTGTTTTCCTTCCTGCTGCCTCCAAATGAAACCAAATCTTTGAAGGAAGAACAATCACCCCCTTTTTACGCGTTGCCACCTGGAAGGAAACAAAGCGAACATACCTGATCTTTCTCAAGGGTCAGAATCTGATATCCCACTGTTCTGCTGCCAATAAGCTTCCCACTGCTGTCGAATGAGGCCAGGCGCAACCTAAAGACAGTGGGAAGTTTCATTGGATTTCCCCCGCTTGGGGCCAAGGGATGGAAAACAAAAGAGGAACAGCAGGTTGGGAGGTGAGAGGGGGAAAGGGTTGAAATAAAATATTCCATGCTGCCAACAAATCCTTGCCTCTCCTTCAAAATTTCATGTAGGTTGTTTCAAATGATGAACTCAAGAGACAAAAATAAAGTAGACTTGAATAAAAATAATACAATATATGTGGTTTACTCACAACTTACATGTGTTCACCATACACAGGTACACAATTTATCAGTCCAGTTTCAACATGTGGACAAGCATGTAGACAATTTCAACAGAAAGGAGGAGTCATAGAATCATAGAATTGGAAGAGACCTCATGGGCCATCCAGTCCAACCCCATTCTGCTAAGAAGCAGAGAAATCACACTCAAAGCACCCCTGACAGATGGCCATCCAGCCTCTGTTTAAAGTCTTAAAAGGAGCCTCCACTACACTCTGGGGAAGAGACCATGAAAAGAAACACAATCTGGCTACCAGTATTTTAAAAAATCTAAAATCAAGACAAAAATAAAGAGCAACATTCAGAAAACAGGGGAATTCCAGACAGGATACAATCAGGGCCAGCTATCACCTCCCAAAAAACAATTTTGCCCAGGTAGCAACCAGCCAGGCTTTGAAGCTGCAAGGCCGTTAAATGCTAATCTAGGTGGCCATTTGCAACATTCACACTTGCCTCCAACAGACAAGAAATCTTTCTCCCACCTTGGACATTATTCCACAGGTATATACACTTCACTTGCATAGTATCCAACAGATCTCACCACCTCTGAGGATGCCTGCCATAGATGTGGGCGAAACGTCAGGACAGAATGCTTCTGGGACATGGCCATACAGCCCGGAAAACTCACAGCAATCCACACATTAGAGAAGTTTGTAATGTCTGAGAGTCATTTAGCTTCTGATGGCTGCCATACCACAGCTATACTGAACATGTGCACCAGTTAACCAATCTGGCAAAATACACACATGCACAAACATAGTGGAAGGGATGGGGGAAATTCAAAGTTCTTTTCACCCTCATTTGTTTTGTCTTCTTTGTGAGTATTTGGACCCCACAGTCTTTGCCACTGAAACTACAAGAGGCGGGATGCCTGGAAATATCTTCCTTTATTTTTTATTTTATATATATTTAATATTTTTATATATTTTATATATATTTAAGGTCTTCAGTCTGAGAAGGAGCCAAGGGGATGTTCAGCCATTCCTTCCACAACATTCATTACGATCAAGGCTAGCTCTGGCTCAGAGTGAAGTGCCAGAATATTCCCAAAATACTGTTCAATGGCATGAGGGAAGTGCGTCCACACAACACACAGCTGGGGAGCAAGGAGAAGACCTGCTACCCCCCCACCCAACCCACACAGACAGGTAGCTGCTGACATTAAAATAAAAACTCTCCTGCTCTTAAAAACTCTCCTTGAATGAGGGACACTTATAACTGGAAAGAGGTGGGACCTGGCCCAAGTCGCTCATGCTGGGGCAGCACAGTGGGAACACAAGTGGGAGAGGGGATGTACGTACATATGTATAGTCCCACAAACCTGAAAGCGATTCTCCTCCGGGGCTGCAGGCTGACCGACCCGCTGCAGGGCTGGTTCAGGGTGTTGCGCTTGAAGATGATGTAGCGGTTGGTGTAGGTCACCAGCAGGTCAAAGCCAAAGGTGAAGCCTGTCCATCGCCAGCAATACTTGGAAATACACAAAGATGTCCGTTTCTGTAACGCACTCTTCCAGGTGGTCCCTGGCCTACTTTAACTGTTCAAATGGCCAGGTCCACCCAGGAAATCTGACAACTGCTCTGTGCACAAAAACACAACTTGCCCCACATCTTTTTCAGTCAATAGTTTGCCAGGCTTTAGCACAGTAGATTAATCACAAAGCTGCAATAAATCTTGCCAACCAGAAGGTTAACAGTTCCAAGCCTGGGTCAGGGTTATTGCCTGACCATCTGCCCAGCTTATGCCAACCTAGCAGTTCAAAAACAAATATGAGTAGATACATAGGAACCGCATTAAGGCGGGGAGGTATTCTAGGCATGGCTTTTAGAACAGAAAAAGGAGGAAGTTTACAAATTAATAAAAGTTCTTTGGAAAGAAAATGGAGCGACAGCACCCCCCTGTGGCCATAACCGAGCACAACCTCCAAAGATGCCAAAAGATGGGAAAAGCCTAGCTATATAAATAAAAATGTAATCTTCATTTGTGGGATTAACATAACTCAAAAACCACTGGATGAATTGACACCAAATTTGGTCACAATACCCGTATCAGGCCAACAAGTGACCATCACTCATAAAAACACTGAAAAACACAGCAGAAGGGACTTAAAAAGCCAAAACATAAAAAATACATTACAACGTATGCACAAAACCACATATTTATACGCAAACACACATATATATATACACATATACACAAATACATACACACAAAGCACATATACACAGACTGGGCCACAGCAAAATGTGACAGGGGACAGCTAGTGTGTGTGTGTGTGTGTGTATACATACACACACACGCACCCTCTCTATCTGTTGTCTACCCTATCTGTTTAATGGCATTGAATGTTTGCCATTCGGGGTGAGAAAGGCAGAATAAATACAGTACATAAATAAATAAACTACAAATGGATGACAGATTACATAGGTAAAGATCAGTGCTTACGTCCCCGTCCTTGGCCAGTTTTCTGCCGCACCGCATGCTGTTTTCCTCGAGCTCCTCCTTGTTAATTTTTTGCGGCCTGAAACACACAAAAGAGCCTCCAATAAAATGGCATTTTGGTCAAAAGGGCATGAAAAGCAGCCTGTCAGACTGAATGCAAAGCCAGCTAACCAAATGGCAGTATTTTGATGGGTTAAACCTTCTACCAAACACTTTGCTTTAACCCCCTTGTTTATTTTTTGCATTCTTCATTCACTTTGTGAACCACACTGTTCTTTTCATGCCAAAGTCCATTCTAAGCAAGTATCTGCTATTGTAAGTTTTCAAAGTTTCAAATAAATATAATCTTCTTCACTCATTCACGGGGTGGCTCTCAAATTATAAATGGAGACCTGAAGATTGGTTCTCACTGCAGGGAAGCTAAGCAAGAATGTCCTCTTTTGGTTAAATAGATGTAAAATATTTTTACCAGGCTATTAGAGTGGAAAAGGGGGTGGGGTGGGCTATACATACCCAGTGTCATTGTCTTGTTCTGCTCTGAGCATGGCAAACCATTGCTGTTTGTAAACACAGGACAGCCACTCTAAAATGTAAGAAATCAAAGTGGTCTTTAAAGTCGGGGCCATGACAGGTGAAGCAGCACTTACAACTTTTTAACTGCAAACATATGCAGCATTAATAACACTATGTAACAAAATTTGAAAAAAGTGTTCCTGGTTTGAAAGTGTGATTTCCTGTTTAATTGTCTGGTACTTACTTTGAAAGTAGTTGTTCTACTTCAGAAACTTTGTTTTTGTGGCTGCCATTTTTAACCTTTCAAGTCCCACAACAACAAAACAAAGTTTTGGCAGTTTAATCAACTTTTCCCATGTTTTATGATACACTCAATTAGGAAATGACATTGATAACCCAGGAACAAAAAAGTGTTTTATAGTGCAATAGGAACAAAAGATATGTGGCCAGAATTCAAAGTGCCGTCCTGATGGATCCAATTGTTTTGGCTAGAATAGGTCGGTCTCCTTTCCCTGCTTGACACCCGCCTCCCAAAAAACCTTCCACAAAGAGTTGGAATCTGGAAGATTTCTGAAAGCACAGAAGAGTGTCATAGGAGAGGAAGAAAGTTCCAACTCTGCTCTGGTCAGATATCAACATCTGCCACTGGATCTTGGTCATAATTGGAGCTCAGCTCCAATTATTTTCACGATTCCCTGCACTTGTGGGGCGAGCCAAATCCCCAAAGCTAGTTAGCAGAAGCACAAGGGATGCTGCACTAAATTGGAGAAATATTCAGTGTCCAGTCTGCCAAACTGGGCTTGAAGAAGATATCTACGGAGACTCCGCTTTGATTGCATGTGACAACTGGAGGTTGAGGGCCACGCAGACGGGGGAGGGACGAGGAGAAGAACTGCTCCGCTCTTACCTGCAGGTATCAGGTTGTCCCTCTCAACAATCCGTGCAGATGCCAGGTCGCTGACAATGTACTGCAGCCTTAGGTGCCGGAACACTGTCCAAAATGCACTGCCTTGTTCGGTTTCCAAGAATGAAATGCCATCCTCAAACTCTGCAATGTCATAATGAACCAGAATGAGTTCAGTGAATATATTTGACACACTACATGGAGCCCCCAGTGGCGCAGCAGGTTAAACTGCTGAGATGCTGAAGTTGCTAACCAAAAGGTTGCCAGTTTGAGTCTGGGGAGTGGGGTGAACTCCTGCTGTTAAGCCCAGCTCCTGCCAACTTACAACAACAAAACTTTATTTATATACCGCTCTAGCTCCCCGAGGGGACTGAGAGCAGTTTCCAAGTAACATCATCAATACATACAGAGTAAACAACATAAACATAAAATTAACAAAACAATACAAGCATAAAAAATCACAATAGCACATATATATTTAAAATAATCCTGCCTTTTCAAAGCAATTTAAAAAGGCGGGGCCGAGGCTAGTGCAATTTCTAGAGGGCCCGAAAAATTAGGTGAAATGCTATAGCAGGCAACAAGAGTAATAGGTATAGTCTATGGCTATAATAAAAATCTACAGAGACACTCGCAGGTATAGTCTATCATGGGGTGTCTGCGCCCTACACCACTGGAGAAATTACACTGTTTAGCCGGTATTGCATCACCTGACATCTGCTGGGAAGTAGCAGCCAATAGTGAAAGGACCAAGGCAGTGACATCTCCAGCTCATCCCGTTTGAGTATCAGCCAGCACGTCAACGACTTAAATCAAGAAATAGTTTTCCAAGATCTACAGAGACACTCGCTAGAACATCTCAGCAAGCGAGAGTCCAAAAGTGGCAGGCTCAAACCCAGCACCTCAATCAATGGTTGATACCAAATGAGAGACTCCCCCCTGGGCACACAGAAGACTGGGTGACTTGGAAGGCGCTGAACAGACTGTGCTCTGGCACCACAAGATGCAGAGCCAACCTTAAGAAATGGGGCTACAAAGTGGAATCCTCGACATGCGAGTGTGGAGAAGAGCAAACCACTGACCACCTGCTGCAATGCAAAGTGAGCCCTGCCACATGCACAATGGAGGACCTTCTTGCAGCAACACCAGAAGCACTCCAAGTGGCCAGATACTGGTCAAAGAACATTTAATTAACTACCAAGCTTGCAAACTTTGTGTTTTGTTTTTTTATGTGTTAAAAATGCAATACAAATGTTTGGTTTGCTCCTGACACGATAAATAGTTATGGCTGTTCATTTCCTGGGCCTAATAGGAGGAAGTGACCTGGATAAGTCGTAGAAAAAGATACGGCCATATTCAACAATATCTGGGGCTGAGTTAGAACTAATCGTTCTCAAAGGCTTGTTTAAACCACCAGGTCTTTGAGTTCTTATGAAAGGAGGGGAGGGATGGGACCTGTCTTATTTCTCTAGGAAGGGCATTCCAGAGGCGGGGAACCACCACCGAGAAGGCCCTTTCTCTCATCCCCACCAACTGTCCTTGTGACAGTGGTGGGAGCAAGAGGAGGGTCTCCCCGGAAGATCTTAAAGTTCACGCTGGTTCATAGAGGGAGATGCAATCGCGAAGATAGATGGGGCCCAAACCAAGCACTTCGAAAACATGCAAACACGGTGGGAAAGCAACGGTGCTCCATGCAGTCATGTCAGCCACATGACCTTGGAGGTGCTTATGGACAACGCTGGCTCTTCAGCCTAGAAATGGAGATGAGCACCAACCCCCAGAATCGGGCACAACTAGACTTAATGTCAGGGCAAACCTCTTATGGTTCTGGATGTCAGAACCATAAGTCCTTTTGAACCCTAAGTGTTTTTTGGGTGTTTTTTTTTTTTTGCACTGAGAAATTGAGAGACATGGATGATTAAACAGCAGGAACTGTCAGGAACTACCAGTCTCTTTTAATGTCATTAGGTTCCAATTTGGCTATGTAAATATTCAGGCTCTTGGCTACTCAAAGACAAACTAATGAGAAGCAGAAACCAAAACAGAGAAGCACAAAGTGATGTATTACGTGATGGGAAAGCTTCTTTATACATATGGAGCAGCCTGCTAATAAAGCATGCAAAGAACAGGGGGAACGTGAGATTTTCCAACGGAATAAATACCTTTTCTGCGCTTAGAAAACCAAGCATCTGCTTCACTTAGGAGTTGTTTTAGTGATCCATTCCAAGAAGGCACCAGCTGAAGGAACATCCACTAGTTTGAAACAAGAAAGCTGTGAGCTTAACGTATCTATCAGAGAAACTGAGTAAGACAAACACAAATGTGCAGTTTTTACTAGTAAGGACCATAAAGTGATGACTATACTGGCAAATTCTGGGGCAGACAGGCATTATAGGAATTGACTACTAGATTAGATTTGGTCTGCATCAATAGTTTGGGGCTCTCGCGTTAGTACCTTCTTGAGTGCAGTGTAGACATCCATCTCCACTTGCATGACAAATAGGTTAGAGGAACTGATCAGCTGTCTCATGAGGCTTATGCTGGAACCCAAGAAAATATGGCATGAGAAAAGAACCACTGGAAGGTGTATTCTGTTACACTAAACATTATTCTCATACAATTTTTTTACTTCCCATGTTTGTGCTTTTTCTATCTCGGGAAAATTGTTCCTTGTGCCGCTCCTAATATATATTTTACAATATCTGCCCATTCTTTATTCCCACTTCCATTTTCTGAGTGAAAAATTGTTGTTTTTAAAAAATTCAGCTCTAATTTTTGCCCAAATATTTCCTCCATCTCACCCTTTATTTTTTATAAGTATTTTGTACCTCGTCACAGTCCCACCACATACATAAAAGGGTTCCTCACCACATTTATGCCAACATTGTTTGGATGTGCTTTTTGTAAGATGACCTAATTGGTGTGGAGTTCATAGAATCATAGAGTTGGAAGAGA